TAGCGTCAAGACAATGCTACCACCCTATTGCTGTGAGGAAATGAGACATTTGCTATTTTTTATGAGAACAACCACACTTCATATTACCACAATATAGTAACAAACTCTCAAGTTAATAGAAAGACAACTATTTTATCTGTAAGGTCTTCAGACTGATCCATAAACTTGGCTGATTTGTTAAAAAACCTAAAACCAAGAAAAAACTGAAACCAAGAGAAAGCTGTTGACAAATTTCAATTTTGTTTTACATTTTAAATAGGACCGATCATGCCTGATATGAATTTGATGAAGTTTTTCAAAATAAATGATGTCATTAAGGAAGATGATGAAATCTAACATCAATTGGGCTACTTTTTGCTTTGAAAAAGAATAAGGACTGTCTCATGGTACATCTTTAATTTTGACTAATCTCTCTCTAATTGATGTAACATCAAAGCAAATGAAAAGAAAAATCAAAAGCAAGTATCTTGCACATCAATAGAGTTGCACTGTAAAAATCATGAGTTTGTTTTCATCGAGAATAATACTTTGCAATAAAGTTTTCCTTCCTTGAGACATGACTCCTTTAACAAAAAATCAATTGAATTAGTACAAACCAACATCAATGGAGGAATGCCTCAGTTTACTGAACAGTTTAGTGGAGCTTTTTGGAACTATCACCAAAATAAAAAGCACACAAATTATCTTACAACTTTAATATCATAGTTTTGAAACGGAACATAGAGAAGACAGACTGGTGGATTTCCATACTGAGTTCTTCGTTGTTCATCCTTCTCATTCTGCTGAGGCTTTTGTCTGACACTTGATTTGGGTTTTAAAGATATAGTGGCTCCTTAATTACTGGGAAAAAAGCATACTCTTGTGAAGTCAGAGTACAGATAAAGTGTGTCGGTCTATACCTGGTTTTGAGTACAGCCATCACACTCGGACCAAGGGCCGAAAGAATTCCAGCGGCAATGGACTGGATGGGAAGGGGTGCTCCAGTAGTATTTTTAACATTTGAGAAAACAAAAAAGAGGAAAATCATCAGGTGTTTCCATCCATAAGCATTAGTGCAAAACTTTCCTAAACAGCAAAGCAGGCCTTCAAAAAAATCAGGGGCATGACCAGGCTCCTTCTAAAATCGTTGAGATTTTGCTCGTCATGTGTAGGAGTTAAATCAGCTCCTGCTTGGGCTTTCTGGTCAGGAACAACAGAAGAAACTAGACACATTCACCTAACCTGAAGATCAGCAAGGACTCTGTGCAATCATATACTGACTTCACATTGCAAAGTGGGCAGAGGCCAGATGGTGTCCGGAGGTTGGGCAGGGAGCTGCCAGGGGCTGTGTGTGCCATGGCGTGTGGCAGACCTTCTGTGGCAGCTCTCAAACAACCGGTTTGCTGATGGGAGGCACAGAGGGTGCAACCTGCCCCAAGGATGAGGGCCATCTTGGGATAAGCTGTGCTATGTTTCGCAGATGCATGTCACTGTGGCCCACACCACCACTGTGTCCTCTCTTCTTTAAGGTTTGCGGACTCTGTAATGCATCACTGTTGTCACCACTGAGGGCAGTGGCAGTTCTGACACTGAACAGTGTCTTCTCTCTCAGGAAACATATAGAATCATAGAATGGTTTGGGTTGGAAGCGACCTCAAAGATCATCTAGTTCCAACTCCTCTGCCATGGGTAGAGACACCTTCCACTACACCAGGTTGCTCAAAGCCTCATCCAACATGGCCTTGAACACTTCCAGGGATGGGTCATCCACAGCTTCTTTGGGCAACCTGTTCCAGTGCTTCACCACCCTTGGAGTGAAGAATTTCTTCCTTAGATCTAATAAAAATCTCCCCTATTTCAGTTTAAAGCCATTGCCCCTAGTCCTATCACTACACACCTTTGCAAAAAGTCCTTCTTCATCTTTCTTGTATCTGAAAACCTCTTTAAGCCTTGCCCCATGTCATGCACCAGAAGTTGTCTGTTAAATTATACCTGCTTAGTCTTCATCGTGTAATTTACTAAAGAAATTACCTGGAAAAAATGGGAAAGAAGCCTGAAACTTCCAGCAACAGAAAAATCCCCAGCACCTGAAAAAGGAGGAGCAAAACTGAACTCACTTTGCATTTCTGCTTTTTCCATTAGCTCATGCAGCCACTCTAACTTTCTGCAATCTTTACACTAGTCAGCTTAGGAAATAAACAAGAGCATCACACTGTTTTTCCTCAGCTTTGTTGTGCAAGCTGTTGTTTTCTACTTTTTTTTCTTTATTGCCATACTGCTTAATTACATTTTCAGCTAAATATTTCTCCATAATAATTAATATTTCATTGAACTTGCCATATTCACTTCATCGGTGCAAAATAAGTAAGCAATTTTCTTACCTTCATGTTAGATGAAATACTCAGATATCCAGCAATTAGCAGGGAAAACGCACTTCCACGCTCTTCAGCAGCCAAAGGAGTCAGTCTGTCTGCTACTGTAAGTCTCTTCTCACTCTGCCTTGCTATTCTGCTTCTCTTTCCCCAGAAAAGCCAAATATTGCCAAGGAATTTTCATCCTGAACCATCTAGTCCTCTCCAGGGACACAGCCTGCTATGGGAGCTGCTCAGTGTTTTTAAGACATATAAATCAAGGCTTGGCTGTGCTGACTGAGGCTGGCACGAAGTTGTGAGGAGTGCTTACTGGAAGAACATTCATCTTTTCCTTATCTTCTCTCTCATAGTTTCTTTCCTCTGAACAAGACTTTTCAGAGATCCCAGGTCAGTCCTGCTGTCCCCCACACTTACACCAGAGCTGAGTCATCAGCTTCAATAGGAAGAGCTGCTCTAGAATTAAGCTGATGTTGCCAAGGTTTAATTTTGATCACAAATCTTCAGTCTCCACTTTTGCAGTTATGTTGATTTATAGGTGTCAGTTCTCACACTGAACATCAGCTTATGAATCTGAATGCAAGTTTCAGCCAATTTTGGCATGGTCCTGCCTGTGAAAGACCTCCCAAAACCGCCCACAGCCCATAGTTTCAATGGTACATAAACAGCTGGCTTTTTATGGGTAAGCTTTTACAGAATTAAGAGCACTTGACTCTCTCTTTCCTCACTCTGCCATGCCCTCTCATTTTTTCTTTTGACTTTTTTCACTTTCCAGAGCTGATCCATTCCAGTAACAGCAAGAAAATGCCACTGCTGGGGAAATTTACATTAATTTATCCGAGTAGAGCCTGGATGAAGCCCTCATGGAAAAGCAGCACTGCTATCTGAAAACTTTTCATACACTACATCTCAGATACTACATCTATTTTAACAGTTTAAGTCCTCAGAGAACTAAATGCTTCGTGTCACAGCATCACTACATGGTTCCTTTTAAACCCTGCACTCTGCTAGCATGGTATGCATTCCTTAAGAAGATGCCTATATCTTGGGTCACATTACTCCATCCGGGTAATGGTCCGCTTCTCAGAAGTTAGCAACACCTGAGCCAATTTAGCTAAGCCAGAGAAAGTCTTTGGGACTTTTCAGGTTTAGTAACTATGAAACTCTTTGATAATGAAATTCATATGCTTTCATCACTTCTGTATGTATTTTATTGCTTTTGACTGAAATCCTCACACTCCTATTAAGTTTTGTGACAAATTTGTGCAACATTGTCAGTGGTCATTTGCCTATAAAATTAATGATTAAAACTAAGTTAAGCCCTTTAATAGCTGGGCCAGAATATGGGAACTCCAAAGAATATTTTATCTCTCCAGACATATGTCTTGATTTTACAGTTAGCTCTTTTAATGGCTTAGATAGCAATTTCAATTCCTGTAAGTACATCATTAACTATAATAACCCTCAAGATAAAGATATATAGAATCATAGAATCATAGAATGGT